AAATTCATTTTTTCAACGAGCAACATAGAATACTTACTGTAACAATTAATCGCATTGGGTTGTTTGATGACAAAAGAAAATGTTGGCTGCAGAAAATAACGAATAAATTTGCACAACGAAAACACCAAATGAGAACTAATAAAAAAAAAAGGTTTAAAATTGAAGTAAATTTGACGCAGTCTTTCACCAATGTGGCGTTTTAATTTCTAATCTACCGCAGTAAAAATGAAAACAATTGTTTTCCTAAAACGCAGCATCTGCGAACTCTGTGCAGTATATCGCCTGGAAAACAAAGTTATTCACTGATTGCAAAAGCACCTGAAAATGTTTTGACTACGGTTTCGGATTAACTACAGCCCACATACAACGTGCGGACATTGAAATGAGAGTTATCGGAGCGTAGTTAACAGCTGGAAAACTTTTTTTTTTGGGAGGTTCCGGAGCCCAAAAATTTATTTATAGATCAAAACAACTACCACTTTAATTTCTTTGACCTTCGTTAAAAATCAAAATACCGTACCTTCGTACTTGTTTTTTTCTTTTTCATCATAAGACGACGACTGGTGGGATTTAGTTTATTTCTTATTTCAAACGATATGCGCTAGCAATCGAATTTATGGGCCACTGGAAAGCGATTTTAACGGAAAAAGATCGTTGATTAAAATTTCTCTTCTTAACAACACCGCGTTTACATTTCAACTCGTCTTGAGTACACGAAAAGCAAATTATTCACTCTTTAGAAAACCACCAGCCGGGCCTGTCAAAGGTCCCAGCATTTAATTGATAGCCTGTTGTCACTGTGATCTGTGGGACACAGGAAAATGTCTCTGTTATGGTAAGTTGCCTCTTGAATGCAGACATTTTCGGTCCCATTAGCTCCTATTGTAACGGGATTACGCCCTTTTGCCAATACACGGCTGGTGGGTTTTACCAAGTAGACCACAGTTCCTTGCGTTGCACCATTCCCGGCAATTTTCACCTTTCAACATTCTGGTCACTGGATCGTGTACAGAAAATGAGAAGAAAGGACTGAAAGCGCTGGTCGTTGTTGCATCCTCACATTGCACACTGATCCGATTCTACCATCTTCCGTGAATAAACCCAGTGTCGGCGTTCTTTGACTTTTGTTATATACCCGCTCGAATGAGGCCATTGGTTTCGCGAGCACGAAATTATGTCCCGGTAAGGATGGCCACGAAGGACTGGGGCCTACGCAGAAAAATCCACCGGCTATTGCGCGCGCGGCATTAGAAACACAAAGGGTATTTATTTTTTCTACAGAAAAGAAAAGCAAAATACAACAGCACTCACCTAATACTTCACACTCGTTTTAATTTAAACATCTAAAAGGCACAAATGACTCTATTCTATATCTTACGGCAAATTGTAGAAGAATAATTCTCTGTATAATTATATAAACTCCACTCTCAATTTAAAAAAAAAAAAAA